CAGACGAGCGTCACCAGACGAGGACGCCAGCAGACGAGCGTCACCAGACGAGGACGCCAGCAGACGAGCGTCACTAACCAGACGAGGACGCCAGCAGACGAGCGTCACTAACCAGACGAGGACGCCAGCAGCGTGCACACTGCACGGTAGTAGCGTCGACAGTGGCCGAGCCGAGGTGGTAGCGCCGCTGCAGCAAAAACACGGCCTCGCACTTGCACACCGCCGTGAAGGTGTCAGGCGGCGCACACAATCGTCCGGCAACACAGTCCGAAAAGCGCGAGAACGAAATCGCTGCCACCACTGTAAGATGTCACGTATTCACTTATATTATACGTCTCGGCAGGTAAGCACGTAAGTAGCACGTAAGCACCAGGGCACCGGTCCGCACCGGTCACCGCCTCAGACCAGACTGCCGGCCGCATCAGCGGCCCGGCCTCGGGCCAGTCACGGTCACGTGACTAGCGCCCGCGGCGCACACCAAGACCCAACTCGGCGGCCAGCGCGCCGCCAGCCGGCCAACCGACCGGCTCACTATAACTATAATCAACAACCTCTACACCTAGATCTCTGATCAAGGGATTTTTATATTTTCGAAATTTTTAGATAGCCATTTTGTTTGTCATGCTTTTTTATACCTACTCGTGGGGTCAGCGACATGACTCGTATCGCCCGAGGTGCCCGGCCGCCCGCGTGCCTCGGTGCGCGGGCGGCCGGGTCATATGTACGGTTCTCCAGTAAAAGTCTTGTTGGTTTTGCTTTTTCGGACATATCTGGTCCTATATAATGTTCAAATGCATAAGTCTCAACCCGCATTATGTGTATGCACATTTACCACGAGACTGTGAAATGGCATCGATGTATGCCGAATACTTTCCGAGATATTCACCAAAAACCTCATTTTCTGCCGTTTGGGGTATTCTGGCCGCAATCTTCCTGGGATCGCCTATGACATCAGTAGAGCCATCTAACGACAGGACCGCGGAAACACAGAATCATGAATGAATCGAGCGCGTAGTAAACGGTGTATGAAAGGGAGACTCGGCAGAGGCTATCCGGGTGGCCGGCGCGCGGCGCGCCCTTAGGCATCGGTCGACCCTTCGGACCGCGCGGGGTCGGAGGTCGCGCTCGGGAAGTCTCGGCTCTGGGTTTTAGCGCTGTGCAGTCAGGAAGGGAGGATAGGATAGCGCTAGCCCGACTGACTGGTATCTCGGCTGATTCGTGTGTGGTGGAAGGGAGCACAGAACGGGATGGTGGCTAGTGGTGGATGATGGGATGGTGGTTTCTGGTTAGGTTAGTGCGTACTGCGTAGAACGTAGCTGAACATGCATTGTTTTTTTTTTCATGGCAAACAACATGCAGCATAATGGGCGGGATTATGCAAGAACTCATACAAAAAGGAAATAATATTTCGGCCGAGGGAGTGGATGAGTGCCGTGACAAAGCATGACGATGCTGCCAAAATCGGGATGCTTTTTTGTCACCATTTTTTACCCCTATAAACATGCAGCGCTTGATCCGAACTTAGAGGTCCCCGACTGACCTTAGACCTTAACCGCACCCGTCCGGTGCGCCACATTTTCTTCAGGGGCGCTCTTCTTGGTTGTATCTGTTCTTACCAATAACTAAAGCAAATCGAATGTATAGTAAAAAAGGGCATACCTCAAACACAATTTTATTCACACCCGCTCGTGTGCATAATCGTTTTGACCTATACCTTCTTGCATCATAATATATCACTTCAGTGCTTAATCCTCAACGGAATTTTGGGTTTTCTGCATATACCCCGGCCGAGGGGGGGGATTACGACCCCTCTCCGTCTTTTTGCCCCTAATTGAGCTAGCGCCTTGCGGATAAAACTGAGCGCGTGCGTCGTATGAGATGCAGCAACTGGTACCCGAGTTGAATGTCTCAGGTCAACCGATAAACTCTGAGGTCAGTATAAGTGCTCCAAATCGCGGGATCGGTTTTTGGTAAACAACCACCATAAGTGGTTGCAGAGCCAAGATAATGGCGCCATCGAGTTTTGCATGCTCAAGCGCGTCGAATAGTATACGCTTTGTTTTTGTTGAGGTCAATTTAAGGTGTTCACATCAGGTCATGGTCAGGGCAGAGCCACTCAGGCCACGAAGCTGGCCAAAGGAGGTCATATCGCTTCTTAGATTCGGTAGGTCCTCACAAGTCCACTGGTGGCTTCCCGACTCGCTAGCTCAATTTGATCGGGACTTTTTGGTGAAAACTCCTGTGACCTTAGTGACGTCATAAATGAAGTCGCCTAACTTTAAGAATGGAAAAGTGAATGCTGGCCGCTGGGGCTTGCAAAGATTGTATAAAATTGCGAATTAATGCGCTTGAGACAGCTTTAGATGGCTCCCGGCGCCAAAATAACAGCTTTCATATTTCCCAATTGATTAATAATCGTGAGGTTGCGTGACCGACCTGACTTCAGGTGACTCTTGAGAAAAATACGAGATAGCTACATGCAAGTTGTGAGGCCTCTGGGAGATAGTTCTAGATCATATAAGCTTCATTCCCCGTTGAAAAGTCCCCTGGCACGAAGGGTGCTGCGACGTCGCGACATTTTGGGACCTTACAGAGGTTTTCTTTTGACGTCATTGGTCAACGGCCTGACCTTAACCCTCGCACTTGTAGGAGGGTGTCGAACAGACCTCCTAACCTCAGTTTTACGCAAATAACTCGCGCAAAAAGCGACTGATTGCGACGAAACTTCCAGTACCCTCGAGTTAATCAATATTACGCCTATCCTATAATTTGTATGATACTGACTCAAAAGACCTTTGACTTGTGACCTGTTTTCCGAGACCATGTTTGGCCGGAATTGCGTTTTGGCGTATTTCGAGAAGAGCGCGTTTTATTGTCTTTTTGTGGCTTTAAGCGATCAAACATGCGAAAGGATGTTGATCCCATGGATTCTAGTGGGTATCAAGGTCACGTGAAGGTCAGTCAGGTCACTGACCTTTGATGACCTTTGTTCACTCTTTCGAGTTCTACATGTTTCTAGGGTAGATTTTGGAGTTGATTTCGCATTTAAAAACCGTTTGAACATTTAAGAAGTAGTTTTGGTTCCCTCGTAACATGTGACCTGACCTGACCTGACCCGACCTGGCCTAAATGCACGAAAACATCATCTGTGATCCAAAACTAACTTGAAATTCGTGATCAGCACCCCGCAAAACCTTATAACAGCTCCACTTTACGAAGCTCTAACAGGTCCCGATTCCCCGAACTTTGAGTTATATTGACCTGTCAACCAATGACCTAGGACCTTAAAATTGGGTATCATCGGCCTGCTCTCGTCACGGGCAACACGCTCTTTTTCCGCGAAGCTCTAGCTCGATCAGGGGCTGAACGGCAAAGGGGTCCAACGGACCTTCCTCCCCCCTTTACGATGGACGCTGGCAAAGCACCAATATGGGCGAGGGTGAAAATACAGCTGCTGTCATAAAAATTCAGCTTGAATCAAAGGTCAATTTTCTTGCCAAATTTCAGCTCTCGCAGCTATCAACAAAAATAAACATGTGGAGGCGGCACCCGCCTCCCCCCCCTCTCCTCTCGGCCACTGCCAGCGAGGTTTTAAGCGTATCATACGGTTACAAAGCATCATATCAAGATGACACACCCCAGCAGCCATATGCACCGAACAAAAACTTATTACCCACGCTAGTCTATCGGCACCATAGCACATGGTCGAGACTGTCGTCAGCCACGGACGTCGGACACGCACTCGACCAACCCTCTGAGCCCGTTGACTGCGGGTGACCTTGACATGTCAAGCCTGATTGGCGGCCGGCCGCTGTCGTGCGGTCGTTACACGCGGAGGGGAGGGAGACACAAAGCTCTACGTTATAGCTGACCTCTGACCTTTCCCTGCGCCCTGGTCACTGACCCCGCTCCATGTCGCTGGGCGGTGGCATGGCGGTGGAAACCGGTTCTAGCCTCTACACATGCCACCATTCTAACCCTCCCCTCCCCACGCTACTACGCGGCGTGGAGTACGCTCGTGCGTAACTGGGCGGAGCAAGGGGTCACGCGATACAGGGGCGGAACTGGTTGCCCTCCCGCTCGCCGAGCGACCAACGACTAATACCCTGGAGAACCGTACGCGTCGAACAAAAATGGTTATAATTCCGAAGATCGTAGGACGTATCAGCTAAATTTATTCGCAACTTTAAGGTTAACACTTACCTATATTTAACTATAAAACAGAACTACGGCGTGGGATTCCGTCTCCGTGGGACCTTTAACTTAGGGCTGCTTGAAAAGAAAAGCCGGATTTTAGGAAGCATCGTTCGTAACCTCTCATAAAAAAATGCATGTAGATATTGCGCAGAGGTATTATGCAAAACTCTGTGTTGATTATGCCCTTGGTCATCGCAAAACTTCAAAACATAGGCTTACTGCCGGATAGTTTCTATTTGATAAGGCAGTAGTGGCGGAACACATTCAATTAAGGGGGGGGAGGGCACTGCCAACTTTTGGTCCCATTCTTTCCATGCAAAGCCCATAGGGCTAATGCTAAAATGCCAAAATCAAAGGGGGCACGGTGCCCCAGTGCTCTCCCCGTTCCGCCGCCTATGTGATAAAGCTACGAACACAGCGCATTGAACATAGCAGATTGGCCGGCACGTGGTGGATGGTAAACATTTTCCAAAGTCTCGCTCATTTTAGCGTTAATGACATGATGCCAGCAAGCTAATTTTGGTATTGCTGAATGTCCCAGTCATTTTTTGTTAAAAAGCATCGTTGTATATTGTTGTCGGAGGTCACTAAAATGATTTTTGTCGCGCTAAATGCGGCCGCCCGACTTTTGTAAGTTACATATCCACTAAATCGCAAACTTCTTGTCCGAATTGTCTTGTAGTCCAACAGGAACACCGAAAATCACATTCAAATATAAATTTGCGAGAAAAGCCCTCCAATTGAGCGGCAGCCTGCTGGCCACTCAGCTGTGCACTGACCCTTGCACTGACCTGTCCACTGACCGGGTATGTTGGCGGCTCTCCGGTGGCTCTTCCTCAGTCAGGCTGCCCGGCATAAATGCCCGCTGAGTGTCCGCCATGGCCGAAAAGTCGCGAAACAGCTGGTGAAATGGGTCATTGCTCCTGTAAATGGGCAGAGTGAGGGTGACGGTGAGCTAGCTCGTCATCGTGAATGGATAGAGATACAGCGGCGCAGAAAAACTCACTCGATATGGTTCTTTTAACGCTTTTCTAGGATAAGTCCTCAGGTTTGTCTTAGGGTCAGCAGTTTATCCTCCAGAGGGCAAAAACTCCGAAAAATGACGTTTTCATGGAAAATGTTTTTCTGCTAGAACATAGAGTTCACTGGCTAGAACCATTGACTCATAAAGAAAACGACATCCATTTTGCCGATACCAGGGCCCAATCTTACCAATGCCGTGGATGCAGATGCCGTGGATGCCTACCACGGCGGCTGATCCACGGCACTCCATTTACCCAATCTCACCAATGCCGTGCCACGGCATTTCTATTCACGGCATTTTGCCCACGGTACAATTCAGCGCCAGCAGAAAACACGCAACGTGATTGGTCAATTCTTGTCACCTTCGCTATCGGAAATTGTGCGTATTGCTTGTGAACAAGTATAGCTCTCTATTTAAAGTTTTGTCGGGCGTTTATTTGTTTTAGAGCCATACATATGTGTGAAGGATAAGTTATTTGTGGAAAACGTGATAGCAAACTATGAAAAACTAAAGCCTGCCTAAAGAATTCTCCTGAAAAGCGGATTACTGGCCTAGTAAACTTCCGCGAGGACATTCTCGCGCTGAGAAAATCGAGTGGATTAGATTTCAACTTCGTTTCGCCAGCGTCCCAAAATTTTACTTTGGCTTGGGTGTAAGAGGAAGATACTCCGCACTGCAAAGAGGGCTGAGAGTGGAAAATTGCCAGTAAGAAAGGCACTAAAAGTTGAAACAGGGATCATCAATTTTTTTTTGTAAATGTTGGAGAACGTGGGAGCTGCATTATAAGATGATTTAATGCAATATGAAGGTAGGAAAGCCAGCCAGCAAACGTACGTGCAAGTGCTCTTTATTGGTAAAATTGGGAGTGAAAAATTGTTCAGGAAAATTGAAGATGAAAGTGGAAAATTGATTTCAATTGGATGTTACTTCCCATCCAAAACTAGCAAATTTTGGGACACTGCGTTTCGCTGCTCATCATTTCATTTACTTGCTGTCAAGATATTGCAACAATTTTGAGATAAAATTATTGAAGTAACGACCTAGTGATAGCTCCGCTGTTGTTTCTAAGACATTGGAATAATGCAATTGAAATGCAGCTCGTAAAGTTTAAACTTTGGGTACATGCACCCGGCCAGCTCAAGCTATAGCCTTAGTTGCTGCTTTTTACGAGCACGATAACAAAAGGAATTACTCAAAATATTGAAGAAACCCGTCTACATCTCAAAACCATAACATATCAAGAAAAAGGCATTCAGTTCAGAAGCCAGATTGAGACGCATGAAGATAGCATGCTCCGTAGCTGTCTGTGCCAGACAGAAAGTGGTAAAACATGCATTGTGAGTGCTGATACTTGTTTGACAAGTTTACGGTATTTAATTGTTTTAAATATTTACTTAGAAATCATGAAGGATGTTTGTGAGACGTCCGGACGGGGTGAACACTGAAACACCCATATTATAGCATAGGTATATATGTTACAGGGAGTTTGAGAAATCCGTGAGTTTGCAAACTCCCTAGCGAGTTTGCAAACTCCCTGACCCATCAGTGAGTTTGCAAACTCACTAGGGAGTTTACAAATTCACTATGGAGTTTGCAAACTCACTGACCGGTCAGGGAGTTTGAGAAATTCCACAGCGATTGGGCCAAATGAAAACAAGTGTGCCGCATGTGGTTGGCATACGTGCCGTCCGTGATGTTAAAACAAAGGTGGCTAGTTGTAGGGCCTCGCACGCTGACAAAAAGCTTACAGATCCTTAACCCTCGCCCGCGCATGCCATTGTCCCATCCTAGAACGCACATGAGGGGGGGGGGGTTGCCACCCCCTGCGCCATTTCGTTCCTGTTGGAGATAGAGCTTAGCGGTAAAGACCAAAAAGATTCTTTGGGAAGAGACGAATCCAATGGTACCCAGTTTTACCTTCTCAGGTCAGTCATGGACCTACCAGGTCAGGTCAAACTAAAAAATGTTGCTGTTTTGGGTCACCGTTGGATATCAAGTGCGCTGCTTATCATATACCGATGACGATGCCGTTTTCTGGTGCCAAGCCAGCTAGAACCTCTTTGTCACACTATACCCGACCAGGTTTTTGCTACTGAGGTCATTTCAGGTCAAGTTAGGCCAAGGTCAATGATATGTGTTTGTATGTCTGTGTGTATCTGTGTGTATACTGGTGTGTGCACCGATTGTTTATGTGTCCATATTACATGAAATCATGATCTGAGAAGCTTTTACCAAAAATGCAGTCAAACAAATCACAAAAAGTAAATTCAGCCTGCCTAAAACGCAATTATCGTAGATGACCTAGGTTGACCTTGACCCTGACCTTGACATCTGTATCTCGTCGAACAACATGTTCCATGATAGGTGGGAGGTAAGACTGGCAAAAAAGGCCGAAATCAAGGTGTGAAAAGCTCACAAGGCCCATTGCCAACGCAAGATGTTAAGAGAATTGGCCATTTGGGTCATGACATGACCTGAAAAACAAGGTCATATCTCCGAAACCAAAAACCACAGAAACTTGAAATTTTCAGTGGACATCAAGAAAGGACAGAGGAGCAGCTATACGAAAAATCAGCCTTCTAGCTCTAAAAATGTTGAGTGCACTACCTTGGGGGTGGGGGGTGGCAACCACCCCCCCCCCCCCCATGTGCGGGCGAGGGTTCATTGTTTTACCGAAAAAAATGCTACTCTCGCGGCTATGTAAAGGGGAGGTTCGGAGCAACGTGCTCCTCCATTCCGTCGTTTCCATCCTCAGGAATCAGGATACTGAAATCCTTCTCCTCCACGCCGAAACCCCCTGTAGTCGCCGTCTCGTCCAAACGCTAAGCCTCCACACGCCAGATGCTCACTAGTGGTGTATTGCCACAAGTTTCTGTCAAAAACACCGAACTCCGTAAGATTTTCAACTCGCAAATCAATATCACACGCCAGACAAAGGGGGGGGGGGGAGAACAAGTGGAACCAGAAACAGCCAAACTCGCGATAAATCATCATAGTAGTTGGTTCCAAAGTTGAACAATCAACCACAATCGACAAAGCGTACGATAACCAACCTACCATCAAATTGGCGTCCGTAGCCTGAAGACGACGACCAAACCAAAACCAAGTCCAAGCCAAGATGCTTCGCTGCAAGCCTCAAGCCATAACGCCGCCTGTACCAACAAACCAGTTCATGTGACACACGTGGCGCACCAGTTTCGATATCCGCGCACGAGGACATAACAGAAATACAGATACAAAGTCATATAATGGTTGAAAGGCCCAAAAAACTCAGTTCAATCATGAAACATGACTCCAGATAACGTTACATGAATGATATCCGAGCGGAATATACCGAAACTTCATTGTACTTACATCCCAACGACATCACGCGCGCGCCAAACCGAACCAAGAACGAATGAAGACCGAAAAGAGGTGGGTGACGACAACACCTCCGATTTTCACACCTCGTCCGAGAGCAGCCAGAGCGTCAAGAAATTAACCGTGTCCTAAAAATTCACAGACATAAATTTACCAAATATGATAACATATTTCCAAGGGCATATACATAAATCTGAACAAACAATTCTCCGATAACATCTCTATTCTCGCAGCTCCAAATAATATTTATCGATATGACCAATAAACAAATGCACAAAACGCAATTCGCAACCATCTTAGACGCTAAGATGTATATATCACCATTTCGCGGTACAAACTAAATTTATTGTCGCAGAAACTCTTACGAGAAACAACAAATACTGGCAGGTAGCGCCAACATCCGTAATGTGCTGCCACCTATAACACACACTGCTCAACACCTAGCTACACCGATCAACCCTCAGCCAAGAGGTCGCTGTGATCGGCCCTTAGCCCATCTAAACAGCGCTTACACTCCCCCCTTCAGCCCTGCTGAAACCTATCATAGCGCTCCTTGACTACGCACACAACTCCTCCATTCGCAGCTTAGTGAGCAAAAAAAAAAACATGGGGAAACAACTCTACAGCTTCCAACTCGGGAGAAAATGGTAACCCCCAAAGGGAGAACGGAAACTGACTTCATATTTACTACCTACAGACAATGCGCTCACCGTACAACCGGCGGCACACCTGCGCACCACCCCCGATACTTACCACTCCAAGTCCGTACTCTGTATCAAAACTAACTTATGCACAGGTCTCAGATAAGACGAGGTGCCGGTTTTCACCACCGCCTTCCTAACTAGCCCGTCCTTACCTGGAATCGTCCTGACGACTCTGCCCATCTTCCACTGACCTCGTGGAACATCAGGGTCTACCAGCAAAACTACATCCCCATCCGTCACGTTCCGCGAGGCGCTCGTCCATTTCTGCCTCTTTTGCAACGTGGGCAGAAATTCATCCCTGAACCTTATCCAAAACTGTCCCGCTAAATATTGTACCTGACGCCACCTGCGGCGGGAGAAGGAATCTGCATCGGAATAATCCCCGGCCATCAGATGCCCACCAGCGCGGAGGAGAAGGAGGTGGGCGGGAGTCAGCGGCTCAAGATTACCCGAACTCGTCGAAATATACGTCAGAGGACGATTATTCAAAATAGCCTCTACCTCGCAGAAGAGAGTACGGAGCGTCTCTTCATCCACTCTTCCCTGCACCGGCATACTGTTCCAGACCTTACGAAAGGTACGTATCTGCCTCTCTGTGAAGCCACCGAAATGAGATCCAGTCGGCGGGTTAAATTTCCAATCTATCCCCTCGGCGAGTGCTGCACGCTGCAAATGCTCCCTGTCAAGACCCTGCAGCGCCTCCCTAAGCTCTCGCTCTGCACCGACTAGGTTAGTACCCATATCGGACACAACATACCTCACTGGCCCTCGCCGCGCAGCGATTCTACGGATGGCGTTTATCATGGAGTCCGACCGTAATGAATCGAGCAACTCGACATGTACTCCCCTGGTAACCATACAGGTACACATCAGACCATACCGAAGTCTCTCCCCCCGTCCAGACTTTACCGCTATCGGCCCAAATACATCTAATCCTGCATAAGAAAAGGCAGGAGTCTCCGGAGTCACACGCTCTGACGGTAAGTCGGCCATCAACTGCTGCTGCGGGCGTGAGTTCACTCGCCGACACACGACGCATGAACGCAACATCTGCCTGATCTCTGCGCTCGCCCCTATGACCCAATACCGTTCCCGCAGCTTCCAAAACGTGTGATCTCTTCCCTGATGCCCCACAGAGCAATGGGCATCGCGAATAAGCAAACGAGACACATGGTGTTTACGAGGCAGTATGACAGGATGCTTTACCCTCTCTGAAACCGAAAGTGATTCACCTATACGGCCTCCGACTACCAACAGACCACCCTTAACGCACGGGCGCAGCTGCGACAGCGGATGATCACGCCTCACCTTCACAGGACCCTCCACGTCGAGACTCGGGAAATCAACCGCACTTCTCTGAACATGACGAACTATGGCCACCTCTGCACTCTCCAGATCGGCCACAGTAAGACTGCGCTCAGGCGCCACTGCCCTGGCCCTCAGGCCCCGTCTCTTGGCGAGAACGTACCTGCGATACTCGCCAGACTTGATGACATCACAAAACCTGCGAAACCAAGCAACGGCTTTCTTCAGCCGATAGGACGAAGAATAATGTCTGACGAGAGAGTCAGTAGGACTATCTGTCCGATCAGACAGCCCAACCTGACCAACACAAGCAGAGACCTTTACCTCATCCTCGGGCAACTCCACGGCGACTGACGGCTCCTCCGGCCAGCTGTCCTTGTCTTGTGAGAGGGAAACTGGTCCCTTCAGCCATGGCCGCAAAGTACCAGGTCGGGCGCCCCGAGACCCAACATCCGCCGGGTTCGACTTCGACGGCACATATGCCCAGTCCGCGACCTCCGTGGCTGAACGTATCTGTGACAACCGATTGGCTACAAAGGTCCTAAGTCTAGAGGTCCTATTTCTAATCCAGCTAAGAACTATCAAACTATCTGTCCACAGTCTGACGCTGTCCAGCTCCATGGCCATCTCCCGGATCAACAACTGCTTGATCCTTACGGCGAGTGTCGCCGCGGTGAGCTCCAGCCGAGGAACTGTCTGAACACACCGGATCGGGTTCACTCGTGCCTTACCAAATACGAACCCAACAGAAATCTCCCTGCCACTACTCACCGTCTCTACCTCTCTTCTGACATAGGCCACCGCCGCGTGAGCCACCTCACTTGCATCCGCGAAGATATGCAGCTCCGTCCTCAGAACTACGCCAGGGGGCCCGGAGATGTCCCTGTCTAAACGAACCGAATCCAGCTGCCTGGCCTCGGACAGCCACTGCGCCCACTCGTCAGCGAGCTCATCGGGTATCATGTCATCCCAGCTGCAAGATAAAGAGCACAATCTCTGCAACAGCGCCTTACCAACCAAAGTCACTGGTGCGATAATCCCCAACGGATCGAAAATCGAACTCACCGTGGACAGGATTCCCCGACGTGAGACCGGCCTGTCCCCCTTAGTGAAGTCAAAGCAGAATGAATCACCGTTCACTTCCCACTTAAGTCCTAGAGTCCGCTCCGTCATCAACCTATCCTTGTCCAGATCGAGGTCCTTGAGGTTCTTACCCCTGTCTTCTTCAGAGATCTCCTTCAGGAATGCTGCACTGTTGCTAGTGAACTTCCTCATGTTGAAGGCACCGCGACCACACAAGGCCTTCAGATCATGAGCCAGTCCAACGGCATCGTCAACAGATGTCACCGCCACTGCAACATCATCAACGTAACTGTTGCGAACCAATACCTCTGCTGCCTCGGGAAACTGCTCAGCTCCCTCTGCTGCGCACTGTCTGAGAGCGAGAGATGCCACACTGCTGCTGGATACGGCCCCAAACACGTGGGACCGCATTTTCCAGACCTCGACCTCTCCATCCAGATCATCATCACAAAACCAGAGAAACCTCAGCATATCAGAGTCCGATTCTGGGACATGCACCCTATGGTACATGGCCTCTACGTCACACGTGAAGGCAACCGGTCCCTCCCGAAACCTGCAGAGAACCCCCACTAAGGAGTTAGTCAAGTTGGGTCCCCCCTTCAACATGTCGTTCAAACTGACACCATTTGACTGAGCAGCGCAATCGAAAACGACTCGTAGCTTACCCTTCTCAGTCTCCTGCACCCCGTGGTGCGGAAGATACCAGACTGGCTGGCTGCATACCTCGTCATCCGGCACTCTGATGGCGTAGCCGTCCCGATCCAACGAACGAATGATCTCTCGATAGCTCTCAAAGTACTTTGGATCTCTCTTGAACTTCCCACGCAGGGACTCGAACCGTCTCCTCGCTGTGGGAAGGCTGTCAGGAATGTCTCCCAACTGGTTCCTGGGCAGTGCCACCTCGTAGTGCCCCTCATCATCTTTACGAATGGTGGCCTTGACCTCCACCAACCACTCCTGGTCATTTACCGATAGCGCCTCGGAGTCATCCGAAGTGTCCTTAAACTCTGCCTCGTACATGCTATGAAACATGTCAGTGAGGTCACTCTGTTTACTCGCTCGGGGTTCTGTCACACGGAGAAAATGCACCACTGCTCAGTGCTCGCGAGTCACACTCACCTTCAACTCCTGGGCACCGAGGACCGATCACGTACCAACCAAGACAGGTTTTCACCCCGCAAGGTCCGCTCCCTTCCTCAGGATGCCGTACCTCCTGAGCCACCAAAAGTTGTGCGGCATTTGAGCCAATCATTAGCTCTACCGGAGCGTCCAAGTCACGCATCGGTATACCGACCAGATGTGGCCATCTCTCCAAATCCTCCGAGTGACACCCATCCTGCCTCGAGACAGGGATCTGGTCGAGAGTGAATAACGGTGGCAGAGGAAACGTCTCGTCAGAGGAAGTGGGACCAACTTTAGCTCCGTCCACCACCGCCGACTTAACCTCCCGGCCCTCGCTCGTCACCGTGTCGATGGTGATGGTCACCTCGTCCTTCTCTAAACTCAACTGACTCGCCAGACGTGAAGTTACAAAACACCCCGAACTGCCCTGATCTAGGAAGGCGCTCGTGAACACCTCCTTCCCAGCTTTATCAATCAGCCTCACCGGCACCACAGGCATCATGGTGTAGCCGCCTCTGGCATCACTCACTCCAACACCAGCACTGACAATTTTTGGTGCAGTTGGCGAGACCTCAGGACTGGATAAGTTCTGCGGATCAGGACTCCTGTGCAACAGAGTTGCATGCCGGCGCCCACAGATGCCACAGGTCAAGCGGCACTGACAGGACCTGGCCAGGTGTCCTGGTTGCAGACAACCGAAGCAGAGCTGCTTCTGGAAAAGAAAGGCCTTCCTCTCCTCAAGAGGTTTCCAGCGTAGCTGCTCGCATGCGTCTGTACGGTGAGGCTTCCCACAGAACATGCATGCCTCTGGGCGTAGTTCAGCACCGCCTACACCAAGCCGACTATCAGCAGCCTTCGAAGCCGGCGTCGCACGACCCCCGCCTGGAGAAGGCCTGCCGCCTCGTCCAGGGCTTCCACCACTGACGTTCAACGCATTCACCCTGTGATTGCCAGCTCGTCTATCACGCACGTCACTTGATCTGGAGGCAGAACCCCCCAGATCACCACTGGCACCGACACCGAACACTGGGTTCTTCAGGATCCTGAGCTCCCTCTCAAGGAAACTAACCAAATCCCTGAAGCCCACGAAGCCACCACCCTGCTCTCGACCCATCAGCATATCCGCCTCTCGGAGCCATCTGTCTCTGAGGAAGTTGGGAAGTTTCTGCACCACCTCACGCAAAGTCCGCGGGTGCTCTAGCTCCCCCATGCGGACGTCAGTCATCGCGTTTTGTACTTCCACCAAAAAGAGAACCAATCCATCAAGGCCCTGGACGTCCCCAGGGTGGACCCTGGGCCATGACCGTAACTTCCCAATATACGAATCAATGAGAGTATGTGGGTTACCGTACTCCCGCTCAAGGGCACGTCGGGCCTGCTGATAGCCATCCTCTCCGAGATGAAGGAAGTTTCTTACTATCCGGTTTGGACGTCCTCGCGTGTACTGGTCTAAATAAGCCATTAGCTCACACTGGTCAGTAGTCTTGTTGACTACCCGCGTATCAAAAGACCTGACGAACAAACGATAATCCTGGACGTTACCAGAAAACGGCTCCAAAACTGACTGCGGCAGCAAGGACCGCTGTATGTGCAGGGATAGTGCCTTGGTCACGTTATCAGACTCGGATGGACGCTCATGTACCTGAATAACATGAGCTCGCCTCTCTGCATCAGTAAGTGGTCTACCAATGCTCACCAACTGTTCCTCCAAGTCCAACTGTTCTCTCCTAGCTGCAATCCTTACCTTCTCTTGCTCCATCCTAGCCCTACTGGCCACCTCCTGCTCAGCTAGAGCTTCCCGCTCCTTTAAAATGGTCAACCGTGCCAACAACGTCTGTGCGCTATCAGCTGCCACTGAGTGAGACACCCCTGTGCTACTGTGAGATACCTTTGGCTCCACAATGTCCATCTCAGCAGACTCATGATCTTCCGCAGACTTACTTTCTCGCTGGATGAAATCCCACAACCTATCTATCAGTTCAGCCTTTTTCCCAGTAGTATCCAGACCCTTCCCAGCTAATTCCCTCTGCAAATCCTCAACCTTCAATTTTCCCAGTTCCTCCCTAGTATACATGTTGCCTTACTCTCTATGTTACCATCTAAGTCAGCACAAATCAGTGAATTCAAAATAGGGAAAGCTGCGAATGACGGGTTTAGTGCAATACTCCTTATTATACAACTCCGATCTACATTTCACGCGAGGCACCCACACAGTACACGCATTGTACACTTCCTACCAATAATACATACACATTAACATACAATGAGTAATGACACTGGATTTTCTATTTGGTTTTATGATTTTCTATAAAAATACACTGCAAACACACTCCAACCCAATTCCTCTTACTGTCCCCTCACCTTGTGACTAATAGAACTAGTCCAAGTCCGATGAGAACTCCCAAGAGTTCTGATGCTGCTCCAAGCAGGCTGCAGTGGTCAACAGCTCCAGTCGGCAGCTCCAAGCTGGCTGCAGGAGTCCACAGCTCCGAGCAGGCTGCAGGAGTCCACAGCCCCGAGCAGGCTGCAGGGGTCCACAGCTCCGAACAGGCTGCAGGAGTCCACAGCTCCGAGCAGGCCGCAGTCCACAGCCCAGAGCAGGCTGCAGGAGTCAACAGCTCCGAGCAGGTTGCAGGAGTCTACACAGCTCCAAGCAGGCTGCAGGAGTCCACACAGCTCCAAGCCAGCTGCAGAAGTCTACACAGCTCCAAGCAGGCCGCAGAAGTAGACAGCTCCGAGCAGGCCGCAGGGGTAGACAGCTCCGAGCAGGCCGCAGGGGTAGACAGCTCCGAGCAGGCCGCAGGAGTAGACAGCTCCGAGCAGGCCGCAGGAGTAGACAGCTCCGAGCAGGAGCCAGAGCCTTTGATGAAACTGTAGTCGCCGTCTCGTCCAAACGCTAAGCCTCCACACGCCAGATGCTCACTAGTGGTGTATTGCCACAAGTTTCTGTCAAAAACACCGAACTCCGTAAGATTTTCAACTCGCAAATCAATATCACACGCCAGACAAAGGGGGGGGGGGAGAACAAGTGGAACCAGAAACAGCCAAACTCGCGATAAATCATCATAGTAGTTGGTTCCAAAGTTGAACAATCAACCACAATCGACAAAGCGTACGATAACCAACCTACCATCAAATTGGCGTCCGTAGCCTGAAGACGACGACCAAACCAAAACCAAGTCCAAGCCAAGATGCTTCGCTGCAAGCCTCAAGCCATAACGCCGCCTGTATAGTCTCTCTTGAAAGTATCGCGTCATGGGCTGCGGCGGCTCGGCGAACTATTCCCTTCAGTTTGAGGACCCCAGCAGTAAGGTCATGGCCTGTATCATAAAAGTACGCTGTAACACGATTCTACGCCGGCGGTAGGAGGAAAACTGCTATATGACGCAGGCACCAGCGGCTGACAACTGGGTGAAAACAGGTGGAGGCCGGCCAAAGGTCATGCTCGTATCGCTCGCCTTGACCCCGTCCCCCGCCTCAGGCGGATACCGGCGCCGCTTGGGCTCACCAGCCGGGCGCTCATTGGTCTGCCTTAGTGGGCGCCAATCACTCGTGCGCATGACGCGTAAAATCACAACGGAGCAAAGTTCCGTCATAGCCCTTCTGTGAAGAGGCCTTCTGAACGACGTAAAACTTGTCATGAGGGAGGGGGGGGGGGGCAACCTGGCATCAAATGGGGCTTTTAAAAAGAAGACGGCTGAACGGTGAATATTCTTTTTTGGTGCCGTTCACTAAGCGGCTCATTCAAAAGAGAGAACTTCAAGTAGGTATATGACTATAATTGGCTAGAGAGCGAATTGACAAATTGGCTGGAGAGATAATTTTTGTGATTTGAATCCGCTCGCGGGTGCATCTGCAACCACGGATGCATTCTGTTAGCGGGCGCAACTGATGATTTTGTTTTATTTTGTATTTGTCCACGGATTTCCGGATTTTACCAAAAACCTGTGACAGTTGTGCTGATGACAGGTCAAATTGTTAACTTTGCAATGAAACAATCTCAACAAATCCTCTGCGAGTAGGGTGGCTTCCGTTGACCACATGCCTACTCCCATCACAAGCTACCGGACGGCGACTGCCACCTCCCCCTGTCCCTCCGCAGTCCGCAACCACTCCCCTCGGCCCGGCCCGCTGCGCTGGCTGCCTCCGCGTCTCAGGCTTCGGTCAGTGCTTCCAGCGGCTCTCAAACTTTTCCGCTCAGCCGCGGCTGGGACGGGTGGCGCCTTCCCTCAGAGTCGCGATACTTTCAAGAGAGACTATACCAACAAACCCGTTCATGTGACACACGTGGCGCACCAGTTTCGATATTTGCGCACGAGGACATAACAGAAATACAGATACAAAGTCATATAATGGTTGAAAGGCCCAAAAAACTCAGTTCAATCATGAAACATGACTCCAGATAACGTTACATGAATGATATCCGAGCGGAATATACCGAAACTTCATTGTACTTACATCCCAACGACATCACGCGCGCGCCAAACCGAACCAAGAACGAATGAAGACCGAAAAGAGGTGGGTGACGACAACACCTCCGATTTTCACACCTCGTCCGAGAGCAGCCAGAGCGTCAAGAAATTAACCGTGTCCTAAAAATTCACAGACATAAATTTACCAAATATAATAACATATTTCCAAGGGCATATACATAAATCTGAACAGACAATTCTCCGATAACATCTCTATTCTCGCAGCTCCAAATAATATTTATCGATATGACCAATAAACAAATGCACAAAACGCAATTCGCAACCATCTTAGACGCTAAGATTTATATATCACCATTTCGCGGTACAAACTAAATTTATTGTCGCAGAAACTCTTACGAGAAACAACAAATACTGGCAGGTAGCGCCAACATCCGTAATGTGCTGCCACCTATAACACACACTGCTCAACACCTAGCTACACCGATCAACCCTCAGCCAAGAGGTCGCTGTGATCGGCCCTTAGCCCATCTAAACAGCGCTTACACCCCCCACTCCAGGCTGGACAGGCACCTTTATCTCATGCGGGCTGCTCCCTTGGAGCGGCACCGCTACTCCCGAGGGAATGCACCCCGTAGCCGGGTGCAGAGAGTGCTTGGGGGCTGGTCGGTCTGTCCATTCGGACGGGCTCAGCCCCGGCGACTCTGAGGGGTGCCTGCCCAGACCAATGTCTCCCCCTAATTCCTATCATTCGTCCGGCTCTAAAATGGTCTTGTCAGACCGAAAGGGCCTAACCCAACAAAACAAAAACAAACAAGCAGCGTGCGCCAGTCGCAGCTGGGCTGGCTGCCAGCAGCGCCGGCTCTCGATGACACGTCTATGGCGGAGTGGGAATGGGCGTGAATCGGTGCGTGTGCCTGTACTTTAGCATAAGTGACCAACAGTGAGCTGTTTCTACCTTGATATTGAGCCTGACTCTGGAATAGCCACACTTGAGTGGAACGGATCTAATTGGGACGTGAACTAAATAAATGTATGACTGAATAAGGCGGTACATGCATGGATAGATCACTGAGCAGTTTAAAATCACAAAAGATATTTATGGTGTGCATATGATCCAGGCGCGGATACAAGGGGGGGGGGCCATGGGGGCCATGGCCCCCCCCCCTTGGCCGATTTTTTTCAAAAATAAAATAAAAAGTTAAAAAGCTGAAAAGGGGGCCTCCTGAAAATAAAGTGGCCGAAATCCGATGAGTTTTTTTTAACCTACCCACTTAGTTATTTCTTAGAAGACTAGCTGAGAAGACTTCTTTGTTAGAAAATTGGTAAAGCTTTTCATAACTTGGAGGTCTCTTATACTCACAGAGATGACCACTTTTACAGGGCCTCCTAACCTGCACAGAGGGCCTCCAAGCCTGCACAGATGTTGAGATGTTGCCTGAACAGCTAGATAAGCTCAATAGACGCAGTTTTTTTTGGGGGGGCCAACAAGTGGGAAGATGGGGCCTCCAACAGGTGGGATTATGGGGGGGCCTCCTGGTTTCTAATGGCCCCTCCCTTGGAGATTTTCTGGATCCGCCCCTGATATGATCTATACGCTTTTTGTCAGCGTGCGAGGCCCTACAACTAGCCACCTTTGTTTTAACATCACGGACGGCACGTATGCCACCCACATGCTGCACACTTGTTTTTATTTGGCCCAATCGCTCTGGAATTTCTCAAACTCCCTGACCGGTCAGTGAGTTTGCAAACTCACTAGGGAGTTTGCAAACTCACGGATTTCTCAAACTCCCTGTAACATATAGATAGGTTTGGCATTGGTATGAGTGGGCCCAGATGCTAAAATTGCCTCCACGAACTCGTATGGATTTGAAAAATAAGACCATATAATGAATAAACATGTTTATTTTTATGGATTTGAGTGTGATTTTATCCCTGGAAAATACATGTTTTTGAAATAATCACCATGCGTGTAATCGTCGCTCTAAGATGTCAAGGGCATTATATGAATAATTCTTTACTTTAAAAAAATAATAGTGTCAAATATTGCAATAGTAACACCCTCCAAGCGACCTATCCCTTCACGGCACCCGCCATTCACGGCACTAGAAGGTGGCGTGAATGGAACGGCCACCGACAGCGCAAACAGCTGATTATTTGCGTTTGTTCTGCCGCTCTCGCGGCAGCTTGTGCCACTGCCCATGTTAAAGCACTGCCAAAATGCCGTGGATAAACATCGACCGCATGCCGTGAATGAGATGGCGTGAATAGCTATCCACGGCATTGGTAATATGCCGTTGCCGTGAATGGGCTCCATTCACGGCATTTTGCCTATTCACGGCATTGGTAAGATTGGGCCCAGGTTCCTCTCGTCTAGACGCGTCGAATGAACTATAAGCTGACCTTGAAGTGACTTAAAATTTGACTAAAATTTGAAGGTCAGGATCATGAACTGTACAGAAAAGGTCATATTGCATGTCAGTCGATCATCGTTGAGGCGAACACATCTAAGGTGCTCCAATCACTCAAGCATGCCTATCAAAAATTACTGTCAACACCTGTTGGGGACCTTTTATGATCTGAGATGACCTATGGGGCATACAAGGGATCCTGGCGGGGTGGCAGTTTTCCGATTCAGTGTGTCGTGTCTATTGTTATTATTCTTCACCGACATCATAGTTAGTGTCAAAAATGTTAATGCTCTTTAACCCTCGCCGGACCTATTGGTTTTCTACATACGCGCCGGCCGAGGGGGGGGGGGGGCGGTTACGACCCCTCATCACGCGGTGTCACATCCTGGAAAACCGAAACCTCGCGTTGTATTTGATGCAGCGGCGCAGTACGAGGGCATGTCTCTGAACAACTGTCTTCTGACGGGACCTGCCTTGTTGCAGACCTTGATCGGAGTGCTGCTGCGCCTCAGGCAGGAGCGCGTAGCCTTGGTCGCTGACATATTCCAAATGTTCCACCAGATCCGTGCGAGACCTGAAGACCAACCAGCGCTGTCGTTTCTCTGGCGGCGACTAGAGACAGCAGAGCCACCGCCACTGTACCAGATGATGGTCGTGATATTCGGTGCAAGATGCAGCCCATGTATCGCGAACTACGTCTTGCGGCAGACACTGGCTGAGGACACCGCCGAGGAGCGTCCAGAGGAGGGAAGCCCGACGCTGCTCTCCAGTTTCTACGTGGATGTTTTTCTACGAGCTGAAAGAAGTCCAGAAGCAGCGCGGACGACAATGAAGAAAGTGCAGTCGCTGATGATTCAAGGAGGATTCAAACTCACCAAGTGGAAGTCAAACCATCCAGAGCTCCTCGAGGAGATACCCGAAGACGAAAGAGATGCGTCCCAGAAGAGGTTGGTACCGTTTGACGGAGGAGTCGGAAAGGCGCTCGGCTGCGTTTGGTGTCCGGCTGAGGACACACTCAGCGTCGAAGTGCGCAACTCGGACGTCACAGCAGCGAAGAGGAATGTGGTGAGCGTGGCAGCCTCAGCATTCGAACCCCTCGGGCTCTCGTCTCACCCTTCATGCTCCAGGTAGAGATCCTGATACAGAAGCGCTCCTCAAGCTAGATTGGGACGACCCAATCTCAGGTCCTGAGCTCTCTCTGTGGCAAAGGTGGCTCGGTAAGCTGCCTGAGGTTGGCAGTATCAGAGTACAGCGCTGCCTGAAAGAGTTGACTGAGAGAGACGTCAAGAACATGGAGCTTCATCTATTCTCGGACGCTTCCGAGAGCATGTTTGCAGCGGTGTGCTACGTGCGGGTGACGGATGTTGATGGGCACACCACCAC